AATTGTTGTTGTTATTGCTTGTTAGGGTTTTGGTATGACTGGCAGGTGGTGTAGCTGCCAAAACAGGCAGTCTCTGCCAAAATAATACACAGAAAAGCGACCAAAGTTGGTCTCTATTTGGTCGCTTTTCATGTTAAAAAAAATAATTTTCTGGAGAATAGCGACCAACGTTGGTCGCTATTTACCCAGATTTCTACAAAAAGCGACCAAACTTGGTCGCTATTTCATTAAAAAAATAAAATTTCTGGTGATATAGCGACCAAAGTTGGTCGCTAATATTTAAAAATAAATTAAATTCATGTATTTAGGGACCAAAGTTGGTCGCTAGTTTAATAAAATAAATAAATAATTGAATAAAAAAGCGACCAACTTTGGTCTCTAGTTTCCAGATTTTAAAATATAATATTTGGATTAGAGACCAAAGTTGGTCGCTTTTTAATGATTAATAATAAATAAATAAATAACGTATTTTATATTTAAAGACCAACTTTGGTCGCCAAATTTATATTATTAAATTAATAAAGCGACCAAAGTTGGTCTCTATAGTCAATATCCGGAAAAATTGGTCCATTTAGCTTAGCGACCAACTTTAGTCCCTAAATATAAATATTTCACCACAGCAGCTGAGAAGCTGACGGATAAAAGCAAACATATGGTGTCAATTAAAATGGAATGTACCATGGTAATCTTATTTTATTTAAGAAAATTACTCTTCTAGATTTATGAAAATACTTTCAACTGTTAACCAAAGAAAGTTTTCATGACAAAGAACAATGCGATAAAAGATATTGCCATGAAACTACAAGCGTACATCTCTGCTATCATCCAAAGAATCCAGCAACAAAGAATTCCCATTAATTACATCAATGTTGATTTTGCACTTTTCTTTGTGATAAATGCATAAAAGCAACATAAAAAAGAATCTCTATGTTCTTCAAAACATTGACTCAGACTTCAAGAAACATTAAAAACCTATCCACTAAATTCATAAAACATGAGTAATTTAAAAGCTTACGTGATGGTAAAAATAGCATAGGCATTCAGGCATGAATCTTAAATTTGCAGCTTCCCCCCATATGAGAAGATGTAATCCCATGTATAATAATTTACGCTGCTGTACTTCCTGTGGTATGGTTGGCAACCTGCAAATTTTGACAATTAAGGAAAGATCAGCATATACAAAAGAAAGATGAGCTTAATTTGCTAAGTCTTCGGCTCTTTTCTACAGACGAACACATCTACGAGAGATGCTAAAGGAAGCTACGGATACACGTTATCCTGTTCTGAAGGACAAAGCATCAAAGCTGCAGACTTTTATATAATGTCTACTTCGATAGATAACAATCAATAAAATAAGATGTTAGATGAAAGTTTAAGGTATATTAGCTGTTTTTCTAAAAAGCTGAATTTCACTTCCAGTGTTAATGTCTGAAGGCAGTAGGACATAACCATTTCAAAAATTTAAAGAGAAGCTCCTCACCATAAACTGCTTTTCCTGTCCAAATATTTGCACCATTTCTTGTAGTTTTTGAAAAGCTTCTTCATGGCTTCATTCAGAGCACGCTCATCCAACTACACAGAACAAAACAACGAACGAGGAAAATTTTTTTTAGCAGTTGAGGAAAGTTTTTGATCACTCATCAATAACAGAAAGCAGTATCTTGTCCCAAACCTTTGGTTGCTGGTCAGGCTTTGGATACTGGCGTATGTGTATATTTGCAAGTAGCAAAATGAGATGCTCCCTTTGATTTGCAACATTATCTTTCTGAGAAGCAATAGACAAAAGAAAAGAGCTCATTAAAGCATATATTTCCATCCTAACCGAGATAAACTTTCTAACCTCAAAAGATGTATGAAATAGCAAGTAAAAACAACAATAAAAGGAAACTGCTCTACCTGAAATCCAAACATAGCTTGAAGCCAATCAAGAATATCTTCATCTTTCTTCTTCTTGTAATTGTTGGGCCATGGAAGACCACTCGTATTTTGGAGAGCGTAAACAGCAGCTCGAATCTGTAAAGGAGGAAAAAAGAGTTGTTAAAGCAATAAGTGGAAAAGGAAAGGCAAAGGTAAAGAAATGCCTATAGCTGGAAATCCTGTTTGCGAATACAAACCTTTGGAAATCTCATAATTGTCTGATTAACACTATCAGGATCCAAAGGAAGATTATTATAGGAGAAAAAAATCTGTGTCTTCCCAGCAACTTTATCATGAGCTTTCAAAATCTGAGTAATGGACAATCAATAATCCGCCACATACAAAGAAAACAATGTTATAAACAAGGAAAAGCTGGAGGTTGTAAAGTCAGCAGAAACAGAAGGTTTAATAATCATTTCTCCTTGAAAATTACTTTCATTCTCACCTCAAGATCGGTTTCTACTACTTGCGCCCGGTAAACCTCAAAGAGTACATTTTCAGTTTGGTATGCCTTGGTAAGTTGTGCACTGGAAAATTTTTAAGAAGATGAGATAAACAACTTTCAGTATAAACTAAAAGCGAGAAAGAGAGCACTACGAGAAGGCACAATAAATCTCTAACAAGGGTGCAAAAGACCCACCGGTCTGCTTTCTCAGCATCATTTTGCAAATCTTGAATGTACTGTTTGTAGTAATGCCAGTAAAAGCTCTGCATTTCACGTGCATCACTTTTTGTAACCCTTCCAATCAAGGTTGGATCATTTTCCTGAAAAGTAAATTTGTTACAGACTTACATGAATTACAAATGGGCACAAACATATCTCAGGTCTACAATTAGAACTGATTAATGATCACTCACAAAGCAGAAAGCAAGAAATATAGCATGCTTGATAAGCAAATATTGGACAAGGAAAGAATCCATGCTTGACCACTTACCCTTTCAAGCTGCCATTGGAGGGATGTTTTAAAATGCCGAACACCACGTCCACTAGAAGTGGCATCTAACCGATGAGCTTTCTCAAAAGCATAAAACCGACCTACAACCAGAGTAATGATGTCTGAACCTTAGAATAGAGAACTAGAAAGGATGTTTGTACAAGATCATGTCCACGATCAGAATTTGACAATAACAAGATGGACAAAATCAATCATAGTAAGGTCACAATTTCCAAATATACTAGACTTATTTTCCTCTTTAGTTATTCGCATTTTGGAAACCTTTACCCAAACTTCATCGTATTTCAACTAATACTTAAACGTTTTACCTAACTCCAACATCTCGTAGTAATGCTGTCAAAAGGTGGTTGCCTAATTTGAAGGACAGAGTAAAAGTAAAACCTTGATGCCCTCCTAGTCTNAAAAAAAACAAAAAAAACAAATCTGCTACCTAAAGGCCAGAAATACCATTCTTATGGTATGATGAGTGACCCCTGCTTCAAGTACAAATCCTAAACATTAACATTCCAAAAGTGGGCATATTATTTGACTATCAGTAGATGCCATCAGTTTGCAGCTAGCATTGTCTGGCTGAGAGTTACTCACAAAAATCGTAGCAAACTCACTCAAACAACATTCTGAAGGTACACATGCCCATGAAGTTGAGTCTGTGAGTTCAATTTTTTGTAATCTTTGAGTTCTTAACTTTAAAGCATTATAACTTGTCAAAAGAATGACTCTTTGTTAGTTGAATCATTAAATGGGATAAGAAAAATTCTTATCTGAGATAATATTCTTTTCCATCAAACTTATAATAAGAAATAAAGGGAGCACTAGAGCAGCTACGTGCTTCTCTCCCAGTAATCACGTTAACAAAGTGACTTAGACTATTTAGATTACAAGTAAAGGTTCAACAGTCAATAATGATGCTTAATCAGACAGCAACAGTAAGATCCAAGCACTCTTAGTTTCAGGAACTCACATAGATATGCAACACGGGGGTTGCTGGGCTCAACTTCATTGGCAACACGAAGAATAGGAGCAATCTCCACCAGAGACGATGGAACCACTTCATTATCAATCATTGACTCCCCAATGTTCCCCATCGTCTGTGTCTCTGTTATACGCCGCTGCAGTGACAGCTCCGCCCCCCTCTTGACGCCATTATAATTAACTTTCACACCCTTATTTTCGCTTAAAAGGTCTGAACATAAATTCAATGCGCAATCACATTAGCATCAGGTAATAAAATTAAAAGCCTAAAAAGAACACAAACAAATAACTGAAACTACATCAAGTGATTTCACGGGCATTAAGTGAAAATGAGATCGTATCGTATTGTTACTTTAATTACGATGTTTGTTTTAGTTGTTACTTAAATTTTATTGTATCGTATCGTTAAATTCATCGTACGTAACGACGAAACGTGTCACTTTATGTACAGGGGCGGATGCACGCTTCCTCAAGCGTCGTCGGAAAATTTTACTAAATATATGTATTAATACTGTACGGAAACGGATAAGTAAGAAAAAATGACACCACTTGACATAAATTGTGCCTTGCTGTGTTGGTTTTGTGCTTGATTTTGCTCTAAGAGGTCAAAGGTTCAAATCTCAACTAGCACATTTTTCTTTTGTAAATATTTGAGAGAACCTTTGTAGTTAAAAATTGTGATTAAGTAGAATTGAATTCAAAATCTTTTTTAACTTAAGACTCAACAAAACCAATAAACTAAGGTTATTTCTTGTCTAAAAGTATGATAATCAAAGTAACATTTCAGTTCTTCTATAAATTTCGACACCGCTTACAAAAATTCATGCATACGCCCCTGTTTATGTAACGACCGATTTTGGTATGGTTGCGTCGTTACCTTGTCTTTTTCCCTCATCTCACCCTTCATTATTATTAAATAATTTTATTTTATCATTTACCCTACCTTTTATATAATAAATTTACCCTGCATCATAATTTTCTTTATAATATTATGCAAGTTTATTCTTCATATTGCTGGTGTGTGATATCATGAAACAACAACAAACGATACAATCTATCCAAACATTGCATTCATCAAACGATACAGTACAATACAATACGATATGATATATTATGAAACGGTGTGTAACAACCATCCAAACAAGCTGTTAAGAAAACACAAGAACGTACAGAAAAATACAATACACAGACAGCTTATACATACAAAAGAAAAAAAAAATTTACTGCAAAAGAACACATCTTGCAAATCTATTAACATCCAAAAACACCAAAAAGAAACACAGTTTTATAATCAAAACACCCAAAAATAAATAAAAAAGACACCCAAAAACAGAAAAAGGTGAAAGAGAGAACAGTACATATACAGAGCAAGATAGGCACCTAGTATTCAGCAAGGAAGCAGAAAACACCAGGATTAAGCAAAGTAAAGAAAACTGAAGAGAGCTACCCTTTCTTTGTTATCTCAAAAATAATGATCAAGATTCTTAATCAATAAAAAAGATTAAATTTTTACCAGCACATGCATTAGCATAAATCAACAAATATACAGAAAACAAATACACCCACATACAACAGGATTTAGCAATTACCATTGTTTGTAGTGATCAAGATTTTAAATAAATTAATGAAAACAATAAATTTTGTATAAAGATTCAAAAGAGAGAACAGTACATAGAAAGAGCAAGATGGGTATTTAGAGTTGAGAAAAATAAGCAGATGAGAAAAGGATTTAGCAAAGTAAAGAAGTGCATTTTACCTTTGATAGTTAGTTGAAGAATGAGGAAAAGCAAAAGGTGGAAAGTTGAAGAGAATGAGCAAAACAAAAACTAGAGAGCGACAGGGAGAGAGAGAGATATAGTGGAGTTTTTGGGGAGGCTGAAACTTAGCAAGAAAGAAACCAAAAATGGTGATGAGGGAGAACCAACGTTAAATTAAGTAAATCAAAATATGGTTAGTGGGAGCCCTTTTTTCTTGATTACCTTTGTTGTTTATTAATGGAAGCTAAAAAGGCACTTCTTTTTCACAATTCGAAGATTCCTTCTCTATGAAGGTTCCTTTATCAACTCCTTGCATGCATAACTTCATTTGATTTTTCAGAACTCAGGATGTCAGTTTTATCTATATATTTTCTTATTCCACATATTCTATCCCGCATAAAAAGAATACATATTTTTTTCGCATAACTTAAGTGTGGTTTGATACCACCAAACAAATTTTGCATCACATAGCGCGCAATTATTATTCTTATGTGTCCAATGTAATGTTGTATCATTTTATACTGGGATTAGTTATACCATACATTAATCAACCAAATGACCCCTAAGTTACATGGAGTATCAAAAATCGTTACAAGCACACACACATATATATAGAGACTTTTTCATTGTTTATCTTTATTTTCATTATGCAGGAGTGCAAGCAATAATTTACCATCACCTCAAGATGTCATAAATCTTTTGAAATACCTTTTGTATCTTTTGAAATACCTTCATTACGCAGGAGTGCAGTCAAGTAGTTGTACAGTGGCTATAATTTGAAATACCTTTTGTATCTGTTCAGTATGAAGGTTCCTTTAACAACTCTTCCAACTTAAGTAATACGTTTGGCGGTTTCTCACCTCTGCCAGCGGTCGGCAAACAGTGTTCCGTCATTCGCATAAACTAGAAGCAGAATAAGAAGAGAATCTGCAGGAAGAAAACTATGAAATTAGTGCGAGGAGGCGTGCTAGTTTTGCTGCAGAAAATCTGGTAGCGTTGACATACTTACTTAAGTGATTAAGTGTCAATGGTTCGGTTTGGCCGGTTATTTTATAAAATTTGTACTATACCAATTTTTCGGTTATTCTATTATGTATAACCAAAACTAAACTTTTCGAAACCGTCCCAATCATGTCGGTTTCTCTTCGGTATCGGTACGGTTCGGTTAATTTTCGGTATTTTTTTAATATCATGTAAAATTTACCAGTAGAAGTAGAATTGCAATAACATACATTCTTTTATAGACATTTTTACTGTTTAAAGGGTGATGAATTAAAAAAAAATGGCTAGAGTATAGATCCATCAACTATTCTACAACAGCGTAAAAGAAATCAAACAAAGTCAAAGAAAATATTAATCACACGAGTTGAAAGATATACTAAGTTGGGACTCAAGAATAAAGTCTATAGAAGATTAAATATCCAAAAAGATAAATCTAAATTATATGAAATGAAACATATTCAATACATTGTAGTTTGCTACTCATAATCACTAGAATACTTTGTGTCTTGCTAATAAAGATACTTGAAATAACTTAGTTTAAGTAAAAGTAGCATAATAGGTTTTAGGAATTAGTATTTTGAGTTTAATTACTTGTTGGCTTGTAATAGTTTTCATAATTCCAAGGCTCAAAGAAAATTTAATGCATTATTATTTTTAAACTTACTAAATAAATATATTTTTTCTACATGTAAAATTTATTTGGTACGGTTCAGTATTTTTTCGGTTTATTTTTATAAAAAAAAAAACCTACCCTAATTATCGGTGCGGTTATACATTTATATAAAAACTTACGGTTTCTTAAAAAGAAACCTAAAAATCGATTCGGTATGGTACGATTCGGTCAGTTTAGTCGGTTTTTGAATATCCATTGACACCCCTAAATAACTGTAGTGAACCCAGATCGTGATTAGACAAAAATGCATAAATACATGTATTTTCTTGGAATTATTACAAAAATGCACTGAAATGTGATAAATAGTGTTAGGGATGGGATTGCAGGGTAAACACCAGTAGTGTAACAACGAATACGAGAGAAGGAACTAAATATTATAGTAAGACATTGCAACTACTTAGAGCAGTAACTAAATTCATGAGACAAATATTTAGGCTCCTTTATATTTGTCTCTAGAGCTGGCTTCTTCGAGCCTTATGTTAACTTTACTTACCTTGAACTCTCTTACTGCACCTTTGTACAGCTCTGCAGCAGCTCTGTTCAGTTCTTACTGCTGTTTTTCCCGGAGGCGGACCTAACCTATGCTATATAGAGGGGTTACCGATACCCCTAAAGTTCGGCAAAAATTCTATGTATACATCTATGTCTTTAGAAACTAGTAATATATTAATAGTGGACACACTATATGTAAAACAGATTTTTTGTTGAATCTAAAAGTGCAACCCGACCTTCAAATCCTGTCCGCCTCTGGCTTCTTCACGCAGCTCTTTCAGAAGCTCATTCCGCACTTGTTGCGACACATTTTCCTGCATCTGTTGCAGCCCATCGTGCACTTTTTGCGGCACCTTTTTCAGCGCTTCTTCCACTAGTCTTTCCTTTTTCTCTGAACTTCTTCTCATGTAATAGACAAGTGCGCTACCTGCCATCTAAAATGAAAAAAAAAATGTAGTATCATAAACAAATAAATAGATAGAAATTCCATCTAAAATGAAGTACTATAGAGAAACAACGACAATTAATTTAAATTATTACCGTCGAGAAAACGAGCATTTGAGCGACTTCATCTACAACTTTCTTCTCGTCTTTATGGGTTCTGTGAATTTCAAAAAGTGATTAAACTATTAATACTCGATTTGCTGACGGGAAACAATTTTAAAAAGTATAATTTTTGTTGTGATTCTCGGATCAATATGAAGATTATTTGGGAGGAAAAACAACTCTATTTCACAAGAATAGAATTATAGAGAATTTACACCAAGAATTTCTCTCTACAAAAAACCTCACCAAGCTCTCTTTTTGTTCTCACAATCTCTTCCTGGATTGTATTTCAATCTCTCTGGATTGATGTTTCTGTGTAAAACATAAGGCTCTATTTATAGCCTTAAAGAAGGTGGTTGGTGGTTGAATTCTTCATTCAACAATGGAGGCTTCAACAATGGTGGCTTCTAGAATGGGTTGGTGGCTTCAACAATGGTGGGCTTCTAGAATTGGTAGTTGGCAGCAGCTGAACTTATCAATTCTCCCCCTTCAGCTGCATTCCAACGCAGCTACTATTTGAAAGTTATTCCAACTATGTCTCTGCACAGCTCTAACTTTTCTTGAGTGACCACCTTTGTTAACATGTCTGCTGGATTCTCCTTCGTATGGATCTTCACTAGTTTCAACAGTTGTTGATTCATCACCTCGCGTATCCAGTGATAGCGAATGTCGATGTGCTTTGTCCGAGAATGATACATTGAGTTTTTGCTTAAATCAATTGCACTTTGACTATCACAATGTATCTTATACTCTGTTTGATTTATCCCTAGTTCTTGGAGAAACCGCTTTAGCCACAACATTTCTTTTCCAGCTTCCGCTACAGCAATATACTCTGCTTCAGTTGTGGATAGTGCAACACACTTCTGCAATCTTGACTGCCATGACACAGCTCCCCCTGCAAAAGTATAAACATATCCCGAGGTTGATTTTCTTCCATCAGGATCTCCGGCCATATCTGAATCTATATAGCCTTCCAAGACTGGATCAGCTCCCCCAAAGCACAAACTTGATTTTGAAGTACCTTTAA